GGCTGAGTAGTATTCCACTGTATAATTATACCACAGCTTCTTTATCCAGTCATCTGTTGATGGACATTTTGGTTGCTTCCATGTCTTGGCCATTGTACATAGTGCTGCTGTGAACATTGGGTGCAGGTGTCTTGGAATTACCATGTGTCTGCCTATTATCACAGTGCAAATACTCCTGGCACAGCCAAGTAAACCCTACCATGAGACACCACTAAACTCGGGAATGGGAAGAGGTTCTGACCCGAGTCAGTGCAGCACAGCTTCAGAATCCCATTGTGTCTACCCAACCCGGGGAATCAAGGTTTTACATGTATCAGAAAAACACAAACACTCAAGAAAAGATACTCCATCAAGACTTCCAAGGCATGACTGAAGCAGACAGCAGCAAGAATCACCCACTTTTCAAGAGAAAATAACCATATATATGTAATAGCCTTTGCTCAGGACGTTTGATTTTTATCTAGTTGTAGTCTGGGTTTCAATAAGAAGTAGGTAAGTTCCCCTGCGCTTTAAATGTCTTAATCATCAAAATCATTCACTTGTAGATGGCACTGTTAAACGGTATAAAAACTAGAGAAATCCCAACTGGATTCCAATCTTAGATATAACATTTTTCTGTTTATGATCTGGAGCAAAGTAGTCAACAGTTTTAAGATTTTCCTATTAGTGTATAAAAGGAGTTAATATGTTGAATTTTCTGGAATTTTTTAAAAATAGGAGAGAGCTTGTAAAAAATAACGTCTGGCACAAAGTAAGTGCTCAATGAATAGTTAACTGTTCTTACGAAGAATATATGATGAGGCTCTGTGTGTCTCAACTAGTGAGCACACTGCATGTGAAAAGAGAACCAGAGGGAGGGACGTGCACCATCCATCCCGAGAGCTCCCAAATCACCTCGCCTTTTTACCTTCTCTCTGGCTCGCCACCGCACCAGCGGTGCTCCGGACACAGGGTCTTTGCTGTGCTTCTGTCCCCTCTATCTGCAATGTTCTCTCTCTGACAGCTGAAGGCTGCGTAGTTAGCACCCTCCATCCCCCAGGTCTGCACTCAACACCCCCTTCTTCATGAGGCTCCCACAGGCCTCTTCACCTGTATCTGCAAATGTCCCCAAATAACGCTTCCAATTCCTACTCCCTGCTTTTTCCCCCTTAGTGTCCATCAGCCTTACTTCTACAATCGCAGTGATTATACTTACAATACATATTATACTCATATCTATACTAATGCTGTTGACTAAGAAACTTACACGTTTTCTTGTTTATCTGTAAGCCCCACAAAGTCAGGAACTTGGGGTGTTTTATCTGCTGCTTATTCTCAGCCTCTGGAATAGTTGATATTCAACATTTTTGCTGTTGTTGAACGAAATGATTTAATGGACCATTAGATTGCTGGCAGGAGGAGCACGTGCATTACCAGGACCGGATCAAGCATTCAGCATCCAGCAGATAAATGCTTCTCACTTCTGTTCTCACCGACGTGCACACTGACACCATACTCCTCATCTAATTGTTTTTTCTCACAAAATTATCTGGCCTGATACAGTGCAGCCAGGGTTACCATTGTATTTCCTGATTCACAGTGTTACTCTTTGGGTGGGTGGGGGAGGAGAATCCGATATCCATATGGCTGCCTTGAAATTCTAGATAAAAATGTACAGACGTCTACCACAGCCAGAGGTCCCCACTCGGCAAACGTGCACCTCCATGTGACAAAAACTGAGAGCCAGCAAACAAAGTACATCAAGGAAAATGCCAAGGTCTATATTCAGAAATAAATGCATAGCATAT